CGGCAATATCAAGTCATCCGGAAGACCAAATCAGCGTGTTCCTAATGTTTACAAAAATATCCGAAGCGGTGAGAAGAACGTGAATTAGCACGGTCAGGATCGATGCTGAGGCCAGGAGCTGACGGGTCCTCCATTCACTTTGAAGGTCTGATGAGCCCCTCGTCCTTCAGGATGTTGATGGCGGACTTGATGTCCGTGTTGTGGGCCCAATAAAATGGTGAGATCTACTGAGTGCGGAAGTTGTCAGGAAGTCTGTGACGCGCCTTGAAGTAAAAGAGGACTCCGTAGTGGTTGCCACGGGTGTCCTGTTTGGCTGGTTCGAAGCGATGACAGGCCTCGAAGTTGTCCGAATATATGGCCAGTACTTCTCCAAGACTCCCAGCTGAATGCCAAGTTGACCAGGCAGGTCATCCACCGGTCAGCTCGAAGACAAAGCCGAAGTCAAAGCCGAAGTCAAAGCCGAAGACAAAGCCAAAGTCAAAGGCGAAGTCAAAGCCGAAGTCAAAGCCGAAGACAAAGCCAAAGTCAAACGCGAAGTCAAAGCCGAAGTCAACGCCGAAGTCAACGCCGAAGTCAAAGCCGACGTCAAAGCCGAAGTCGAAGTCATCAACCAAAGTCCAGGTTCACACGCAAGCGCCGTAGAAGTCGTTGGCGCCGTTGCAGGGGTTCCGGGCAAAGGCATCCACTTTGAAGGTTTGATGAGCTCCTCGTCCTTCAGGATGTTGATGGCGACATGTCCGAAGCGGCTGCAAAATCAAAGGCGAAGTCAAATCCGAAGTCAAAGCCGAAGTCAAAGCCGAAGTCAAAGCCGAGGTCAAAGGCAAAGTCAAAGCCGAAGTCAAAGCCGATGTCAAAGCCGAAGTCAAAGCCGAAGTCAAAGCCAAAGTCAAAGGCGAAGTCTAGGCAGTCACAAGGAGCTGGCCGTAGAAGTCGTTGGCGCCGTTGGAGGGGTTCCGGGTAAAGGCAGTGAAAATGTCCGGCAAATGAGGGTCAAGTCAACGCGCAAGTCCAATGACAAGGCAATGGCAAGCAAGTTTTCAATCACAACAGGACGAACCTGAGCAAAGTTCATGCATTCCAGCCATCAGAAGAGCTGCAGGCGGACCGGAACCCCCACGTAGCTGGGAACAGCAATTGATGAACGAAGCTTCCATCTCCCATCCTTGCTATACTCCCCGTTTGGTGACGGGTCCTTGATCCACTTTGAAGGTCTGATGAGCTCCTTGTCCTTCAGGATGTTGATGGCGGACTTGATGTCCGTGTTGTGGGCCCAATAGAATGGTGAGATCGACTGAGTGTGGAAGTTGTCAGAAAGTCTGCGACGCGGCTCGAAGTAAAAGAGGACTCCGTAGTGGTTGCCATGGGTGTCCGTTTTTGCTGGTTCAAAGCGAGGACAGGCCTCCGAATATACGGCCAGTACTTCTCCAAGACTCCCAGCTGAATGCCAAGTTGACCAGGCATGTCATCCACCGGTCAGCCCGAAGACGCTCAGAAGACAAAGCCGAAGTCAAAGCCGAAGTCAAAGCCGAAGTCAAAGCCGAAGTCAAAGGCGAAGTCAAAGCCGACGTCAAAGCCGAAGTCAAAGCCGAAGTCAAAGCCGAAGTCAAAGCCGAAGTCAAAGCCGAAGTCAAGGCCAAAGTCAAAGCCGGAGTCAAAGCCGAAGTCAAAGCCAAAGTCGAAGCCGGAGTCAAAGCCGAAGTCAAAGCCGAAGTCAAAGCCAAAGTCGAAGCCGGAGTCAAAGCCGAAGTCAAAGCCGAAGTCAAAGCCGAAGTCAAAGCGGAAGTGAAAGCCGAAGTCAAAGCCGAAGTCGAAGTCATCAACAGCTGCGTGTGAGACGTCACTATGATCTGGTGGCTGTCTTCCCTTTAGTGAAACCTCGTTCCTGCTTAAACGTGAAATTCCGCTGGACTATGATAAGAACGTTGAGGTCAAATTTTCCGGCGAACCGGCCCGGGGTCACACGGTGGGTACACCCGAGGTTCCCCCAAGTTGGGGCGATCGTCCCAAGGGAGGGTGCTAATCCTTCGAGAACAACCGATGAGTCTCGAGTAGGTGAAGTTTCGGCTCGCGATGCACTCGGTTTCCCTCTAGTGACGAAAACGTTACCAGAAAGAACAAGAAGCACAAACAGCGCCGCAACCAAGGGACCCAAAGGACATTCAGAATCACGGAGTGCGGGTAGTAAACCGCAACCGACATCGAAAAAGGGTAAATTGTGTTGCACTCCAAGCTATCCGCACAGGATCCATGGCAGCACATGCTCCAAGCTATCCACACAGGATCCATGGCAGCACAATGCGGAGTTTCGTCAACTCGCCCTCCTGATCTGTTCTTCTGCGGAGGCAACTCATCAGAACCCGCATCACCTCCGCACAAAACTGAGAAAAGGTGCAGGTCCGTTGGTGCGGGCTGACTCCGGCAAAAAGAGAGAAAAGCCCCCTGCAGTGATAGTCCAAATCCAAGAGTGGTGGCAGGGTATTCTGCCACTCTGCACACACACACACCCACACACACACCCACACGCACACACTCCCACACCCACACCCACACGCACAAGCACACGCACACGCGCACACGCGCGCACGCGCGCGCACTCACACACGCACACACACGCACACACGCACACACGCACACACGCGCACACGCGCACACGCGCACACGCACACACGCACACACGCACACACGCACACCACGCGCACCACGCACACCACGCGCACCACGCACACCACGCACACACACCACACACACACACACCCACACCCACACACACACACACACCGACGCACATGCACACGCACGCGCACTCACGCACGCACGCACACGCGCGCGCACGCGCGCACGCACGCACGCACGCGCGCGCGTGGGCGCGCGCGCGCACACGCACACGCACACGCACACGCACACGCACACGCCCACACACACACCCGCAAAAACACACACACACCCACACAAACACACAAACACACAAACACACAAACCCACAAACGCACAAATGCACAAACGCACAAACGCACAAAAGCACAAATGCACAAACGCACAAACGCACAAACGCACAAACGCGCAAACGCACAAACGCACAAACGCACAAACGCACAAACGCGCAAACGCGCAAACGGACAAGCGCACAAGCGCACAAGCGCACAAGCGCACAAGCGCACACGCGCACAATCGCACAAACGCACAAACGCGCACAAACGCGCACAAACGCGCGCAATCACGCACAAAAAAAACGCACAAAAAACACACAAAAACCGCGCGCAAACGTGCCCAAACGCGCCCAAACGCGCCCAACCGCACGCAAACGCACGCAAACGCACGCAAACACACGCAAACATGCGCAAACGCGCGCAAGCGTGCACGCAAACGCACACGCAAACGCGCACGCAAACGCGCACGCAAACGCGCACGCAAACGCCCACGCAAACGCGCGCGCAAACGCGCACGGAAACGCGCGCGCAAACGCGCACGCAATCGCGCACGCAAACGCGCACGCAAACGCGCGCGCAAACGCGCGCGCAATCGCGCACGCAAACGCGCGCGCAAACGCGCACGGAAACGCGCGCGTAAACGCGCACGCAAACGCGCGCGCAAACGCGCACGCAAACGCGCACGCCAACGCACGCCAACGCACGCCAACGCCTGCGCGCGCGCAGGCACACGCACATGCTCACGCACACGCGCATGCACACGCATACGCAGACGCCGCGCGGGCACGCCGCATGCGCACGGGCACGGGCGCGAACGCACGTCCTTGCACGCGCGCCCACACACACACCACACACACACACGCGCAACACGCGCAATTTGCGCTCACATGTGCACGCACACACCCACACACCCACACGCACTCACGCACGCACGCACGCACGCACACAAACACAAACACAAACACAAACACACACACACACAGACTCGCACACACACGGACACAGAAACACAGCACGCGCACAGACACACACACACACACACACGCACACATGCGCGCGCACGCGCGCACCCGCACACCCGCACGCACACCCACGCACGCACCCACGCACGCAACTACGCACGCACCCACGCGTGCGCTAACTCACGCATTCGCACACCCACGCACCTACGCACGCCCCGACGCACGCACGCAGCGTAGGCAGGAACGCCTGCGTCCTCCATCACCCCCCCCCCGCCGCGAACGCGCGCTCGCACGCACACAGACACCCAAGCATACGCATTGGCGAGTTAGTGTGCCCATTTTTCCAAGCCTGTTGCGGAGGTGAAAAGCGCCTATGACTCCATGCTGCAGAGTAAGGCCAGCAACTCGAGACCTCGCTGTGGCTGTTGGGAACTGGACATTTTTAGTTCCTCGCAAAATGGTTTTTGTTTTGCATGGCGGGTGGCTTTTCCGCTTTTTGGCTTTGGTGGCTTTTTGGTTGCTTTCTATGTAAAAAATCTACTTTCGAAGCTTTTTCCTCCACATCCAAGATCCGTAGCTTCGAGCCAAGAAACTCTCAACTTCCAAGTTGAGGGTTTCGAGTCCTCAACTTAATTCTATCTTCTAAGTAATTGAATTTAACAGTTAATGCCAAAACCGGTCGTCTCATTGGTGCCCTTCTTTTTCGTGGCCCTGCCATAGTTTTCTGCTTCCGACATCGAAAACTCGTGGTTTTCTTCGATTTTCAAATCGCTCGACCCTCTGCGCACTTTGGCGTGGTCGAATCGCGGCCTTAGCTTTTTGCCTTTTCGCATCCTCTGCATTCCCAGTTCCTCCTGGCAGGTGGCTTTCTGTTTTTTTTTTTTTTTTCGGCTGTTTTGGCTCCAGCTTTTCGCATCCTCTGCTTTTCCAGTTTGGCTTCTGGTTCTTGCGGACTTTTGCTGGTTCATGCGGCTTTTCTCCGGCAGGTTTTTGTTGCAGCTTTAAAATGCAGTTCCTCTCCGGCAAATGTTTTGATATTTGTACCTATGTTCAAATGTATGTTTTGCGTGCTTAATCAGTCTGCTCGCTGGGAGGTGTCCGTTTTAAACAGACAAACTGTACCTTGAGTCGACATACACTGCGTGCAGAAATTTACTCGATGGCCAAGCGAGAGTGAACGACCCTAATGAGTGTGGTCTATGAATGCATGTGCGCCTGCATGGCCGCACTTCAAGAATCACGGGAAGGTGGGGCCTGCCGCTTCCCCCCCAACCCCCCTGGCGGCTTTCTTTGTTTCGTTGCAGAGAATACGCACTCTTTGTTGAATGCTCGATTCTGGGGGGCAGCCCCGCTGGCTTTTCGATTTTTTAGAGCGATCAACATGGGGGGGGCTGCCGTTAAAGAGAATTACATCAGCAGAGACCCCAAACAGTTGAGGACTTACGGGCAAGCGTGAACATGCCAGCGGCTTGCGGCTTTCTGCGTTTCAAAACGGATGAGCCAACATGATGCAGTCGATGAACCTGGCACGCGTTGCGTTGCTGCACGCGTGTTGCTGGCGTGCTTCGCGCTCCAGCACCGCGCCAGAACTGAGGTTGGGCAAGCGCGTGCGATAGCGGGCGAGCGCGCGTGAACGCAAGTGCAGTCACACGGCAGTTCAGACACACATGTCCAATTCAGACACACATGTGTGCACACCTGGAACACATATGTATACCACTGAAGCAGTACACGCGGCACGTGCAGATGTGCGCCCGTGAACACTCACGCATATACACTCGGTTGCTTGCTGCCCCCCTGCTAAAAGTTACTAAAAGTTTAACTTGTAGTGGTTTAAGGGAAGCCCATTAGTTGGCAAAAAGGTAAAGCCCTAACTTCCAAGCAAAATGCACCAAAGTACCTCACCTGCGGCACCCGCATAAATGTGTTGAGCTGGATAACAAACATGTGCTTCTTGGGAAGCACACACATGTGTACACACGGAACACACATATGTGTTCACCTACGACACGCTAATGTGTTCACGTGGAGCGCACATGTGTGTTCGCTTGGAACGCAATGAAACGCGTGTCCAATTCAGACACGCATGTGTGCACATGTGGAACACACATGTGTTCAACGTCACGTGCAACTAAAGCACATGTGTGTACACGTGGGAAACGCATGTGTGCACCACTGGAACACAAATATGTGTCCAGGTACACCGCGTGTGCGATAAAATCGCACGTGTGTGTACACGTGGAACTCACATATGTGCACCTGTGAGCGAACACACGTGCTCACCGAAAGCGCGCACACATGCGCGCACCTCGAAAACAATCGTGCGTTTTCTGGAGCACATCCATGTGCACACCTCGAGCAAATATGTCGTCAGATGCCAAAAATGATCATCTAGAACATGCTAATGTGTTCACGTGGATCACACATCTGTTAACCTGGAACACAAACACGTGTCCAATTGGAACACACATGTGCGTACACGTGGAACACACACATGTGTGCACGTGAACACGTGAACACACATACATGTGCACGCGGAGCAGACACACCCACACGTGTTTATCTGCCACGTGTTTATCTGACAACAAACACGCGTTCTCCTCGAACGCAAACACGTGTCCAATTCGAACACACATGAGTGCACACGTGACCACGCATATGTGCACACGTGAAACGCACATCTGCGTACACGCGATCACAGATATATGTGCACCCGGAACACACACACACAGGAGTGTTCGTCTGAAAACAATCATGTGTTCACCTGGAAAGCAAACACGTGTCCATTTGTGTACACGTAAACACACACATGTGTACACATGGGAGACACAAATGTGCACTTGATCTTTTACACGTTGCAAGGATTGACGCGTGAGGCTGGGTTTGAAGCTCTCCCTGTGCCTGTGCTAAGTGACTGCATTTCCAATCCACCAAATTTGGAAGACCTACCCTGGGTCTTCTTCTTTGCTGGACTGGCCTGTGGATTGCTGCTCGGGCCCATCGTTGATCTGCTGTGGTTGGTCAAGGAACGCTGGAGGCGCTTCATTTTCGCCAGGATCGCCCAGTTGCAACCCCAGCCCCCCGGCTGGAAATCGCCCATTGCACAGGGTCCTTGAGTGAGAGGATCAGCCTCATCCAGTGAAGAGCGACTTTGCACAGAATTGTGCGATCTGCAAGAGCAGTTTTGTTTGCTTTCACTGCGGGTTGATTTGCAGGGAGACCAGTTTTAGGATCTAACGCAGGCTTCGCTAGTTGCCAGTCAAGGGCCGAGGCACAAGTGGCAGGGATAAGCTCAGTCATCTGTCACCCTGTTACTGTCGACCAAGACATCGGTGGCCGTGTCTGTCGCAAAGCCATCCGTGTTGAGAGCAGGTTCACCACAGTCAAGAGCTTGCCACGGCTAGGTTGGAGTTTCCAACCCAGGTTGAGGGATGAGTGGGTCACCAGATCTACCAGCTGAGGGGGACGACCCCCGCGATTTTGCTGTGTACAAGTCAGGTGTGGAAGATCCGTTGTACAGCTTTGAAGTAGGGCTGTTTCCACTTGACCAGTTTTCCGGCGAAACTAGCTCCGTGGCTGTTGTTTCGGAGTTCGAAGGCAAGCTTGTGTGCGCCTTCCCAGCCATTGTTTGGCACCGAACAGTCGCAAATAGGCGGCTGCCCACCAGAGCCCTGAGCAAGCCCGGTGAGTCCCACCGGAGCAATCCTAGTTCTACTGGGAAGGAGCTGAGGCTATGGTTCGGTGTGCTGGACCCGAGGCTGGAAAAGTACCTGGATTTCTCAGGCTCCGACCAGCCAGACATCCCATTTGGAGAAGAAGGCGATGCCAACCTGCTCCCCTTTGCAGGTGCTCTTGTAGAGGTCGCAGCAGAGCATTTCAGTTTTCTGACAGCCGAGAGTGGAGGAGGCGGGGATGGAGAAGAGGACGGAGCAGAGGCCAAGAATGCCGCCCAGCGGCTAGATGCCTTAGAGTCAACACTTGCCTCGATTCAAGCCAGTCTTGCTCTCCTCACTCATCAGCAGGGTTCGCAAGTTGCCGCAAAGCCCGAAGTGCCGGCCAAGCAGAAAGCCTCTGCCGCCCCAGGCAAGGATGCCAAGCTGGATCGTTCTGCTGCAAAGCCGAAAGCCCAAGGCCAAGTTGGTGCCCTCGACGATGGAGTAGTTCAGGCTGCCTTGGCGGCTGGGGTTCCCATGTCGCACCTGGAAGAAATGGCGCGCATCATGACTGGCAAGCCCAACAGGCTAGAAGACGTTCCTCGTCAGGCCCGAAAGCCGGATCCCTTGTCCGATTCAGACGGAGGTCCCGAAGCAGACGTAGTGGAGCCCGAGGACATCGAGGCAGACCCAGAAGAAGCTTCAGGCGGCAGTGGCGTCGCAAAGGCTATCAAGCAGTTGACGCAGATATGCAGTGTCCTGGTAGAGGGCAAGCAGAGGGCGGCTCCATCGCTGCGCTCCAAGCTCTGCAAAGAGCCCTCTCGGACAACCCCGAGTATCTGCACAAAGCCCTGGAGTCAACCTGGAGAACCCTTCGGTGCAGGGACGACTGTCAGGGGCTGGTTGGCGTCAAGGAGCAGAGTGCAGAACTACACGAACCATGTTCGCTGGGTTTGGCAAGTTGGGGGAATCTGGGATGCACTGATTCAGGGAAAGCATGCAGAGGCCAGGGCCAGATGCGGCCTCCTTGTGGCGGCCGCCGACCAGGCCAGCATAGATGGGGGCAATTGGCTGATGTCAAATGTCTCGCTTCTCGAACCAGTGCCTCCATACCAGGCCTTCGCCCACCCCCTTCCGGTCACGAGCTTCAGCACTCAGCCCTCCTGGAACCCAGGTGGATGGAGACGATGTAGATCCAAAGCTGAAGCGGAAAGCAGGCTCCCGTAGAGCCTGCTGCGCAAGGCCAGAACTGAATGGCAATGTGTCGGCGGGGGCAAAGGCTGGGCCGCCGCCTGATGAAAACCATAGCCAGCCTGAAATTAGAGTACCTGGCTCGCGAGCGTCAACCTTCTCGGGCCAGGGTCTGTTGCAAGCCTTTTTGCGCCACCTGTTGAAGTCGCGAAGCAGACTCGGGTCTTTCGAATCCAGCACCTGCAAGCCAGCCCACAGATGCGTTCCCGATGCCCCTTCCGTACTTTGAAGTGTTTCGGTTGGGCCGACATCAGAGTAAGCCTGAATTTGCCCGGAAGCAGGCTGCTACAGCCGTAGTCATAGTGTTGAATTTCTTGCATCTCGGCAGGCCCTGCCGAGCGAGTCACCCAAGACTCTCTGCTCGAAAGTTGACCCGACGTCAATGGCAGGCTGTGCAGAACTTTGAACGCTACATGGAGGCTTGGCTTAGTGTTAGTCCCATAAACACGTACTTCCCACTCAATGCGTGCAGCCGCCACTGCGACTAGTTCG